CAGAAAAGGACAGAAGGTACCCAGACCCATGACGGGGGTCCCTCAATAAATGGAGGACCCCTCGCAGTGGGGGGATTTGGAGTTTTCCCGATGCGATGTGCCGGGAAGGCCTGCCTGTCCTCACATGTTCCCCAGATACTTGATCCTATTATATAAAGCTTCAGCCTTTTAATCTCTAAAATTAACCAAACAGAGGTAAATACAGTATTCGTGACTGAGAGCATTTATCTCCTAAACACTTTCGGTAACGCAGATCGCTCCCCTGAGCAAGGAACACAATCCAACGTCATTGTCACTCAAGTGGAGAGAAAGGGGCCACCAGTGGTTTGCTCAATTTTGCGGCACAGAGCGAGTTTAGGAGATCCCGTGAAATCCCAGCGACTCTGCCCTGCCACGGTGGGAAGACCGGGCCTCCTCCAGTTTCACCTGGCCCTCCCGGGCTGTTTATTAAAGATGTCTATTTTCTATCAGCGGAGGGTATCGAGTAACTTCTTGGCGAGAAGAACCCTATTTTCAGGACCTATTAAGATTCTTTGTGGAAATTTAAATACCTCTGTCAGGCAAACTAAAATCATATCAGGAATCATAGAATTTCATTGCTAGAGAGCGAAATTAGATTAACCAACCCACGCGTCTTTCCTAGATCCCTCAATAAAATAGGAGAACATTCCAACAGTCTCCTGCTTCCGGTCTGGAGGGGCCCTCCCAAGAAATCGAAATGAAATTTATAGGAGAGGAAGCTATCCCGAGAAAGACTGGCCGTCTACGAAAAGTTGTCTGTCGGTAGAGGGGGGAGAATGTCCAGGCACGTATGGCCCAGGAGAAAGTGGTGGATACTGAAAATCCAAACAGGCAGAAAATTTCAGTAGCAGAAACCACGAGAAGTTCAACCCCGCTAAGCTTCAGCCCCTTAAAACATCGTTGTCCTTTATTAATATTTAGTAGAAATATAGAATCGCAGATGTATTCTGGGTTGGGGTTTTATGTCGGGAGGCGGATCGAGAAGACAGGTTTATGTCAGCCATGAAATATTGAATAAGCACCAAGGAACAGTAGTGGGATGGCCGAGGCGAGCCAGGGAGCGGCTCCGGCTCCCTAAGTGAGCTGCACAAAGGGAGCCCCTATCTGTTTACATCAGCCCTGATTAACACCTGCGAAGTTTTGGGTTACATCTTCCAGAGGCACAAAAGTCACAGGAAGGCCTGCGGCTGGGTGATCTCCCGGGAAGCTGGGACTCTGGTGTCCCTGGCTCCTCCCAAGCAAGTTTGAGAATGTGAGCCTTAAAAATTCTCTGCCTGGTGTGGGGAGGATGGGGGGGGGAGGACTCAGAAAAACAGCTCTGGGCTGGGAGGCTGGGACCTCTACCCTCCCTGCCCCACGTCGGAAGAAATTCACAGCCCGCCTCGTCTTTCTCAGGCCTGCCTGACTCTGTTCCTCCTGGAACGCTGGGAGAGAAGCATGACATTCCAAAAATTTTCTCCCACATCTCTGGAAAAACATCGTACTTCCAAAAAGGGCCAGATCAGGGACGGAGAGCAGACCCTGACTTGACTCCGGTGTCAGTGTGTGGGAAGGACCCTTCTAGGCCGCCCTGGGTCTGAAGACGGAGGACTCCCAACTGAAAGGGGGTCTGGCAGGAATGAGTGCAGACGTTTAGCTCAGAGTTTTGAAAAGCATCATTTTTTCCAACTTCATACCCACGATCTCTATTCTACCCTGATTTTTCTTTCTCTCTTCTGGAATTCCCTCCAGAGCCACACACACCCCCCCCCCTCACCAAGACAGGTGGTGGATCCTGCAAAGCATTCTTCAGTTCACATCCCCCCTGTTGAACAGGTCCAAACTCAGGCTAGTTTCTTCCCCCCCAGGATCATCTCACCCTTCCCCCACCCCAACTTTGTGCCACCTCAGGATCCGATGTAGAGTCCCATTATATAAAAGTTGTCGGGTGGGTCGGGGAGGAAGTCAGGGGAGGCGGATTCCGAGAGGCTTGCTCCCCTGGTTTAAGAAACCGTGAAATCACACGCGATTCTGGCCCAGACGCTTCCAGACCTACAACTTGCCAATCAAGTTTCTTCCCCTGCGAAGGACATCACAAGCCCATAAGACACTCCGGGCACGTCCCCGTGGCTACACGTCCTGTACAGTTCTGAACAACGATTCGTTCCTCCAATCCGAGCATGGATCATTTTGCTAAATACCGACTAGTATTTTGTCTTCGGAGCGGGGAATTTCAGAAACGGTGTTAATATTTAATCACATTAGTACTGGCGTGTTTTACGGTGTGACAAAATAAAATATCATTACAAAAACGGGCTCTGCTTCCAAGGGGGTGGGAGGGCAAGCAGAGGGCTTGCTGGCCTGGAACCCGGACAAGGTAGACGCAGAGACACTGGCTAAGGGGACCCGGGGCACATTGATTAAGGAAAAGCAGAATGGTTTTTTGCTTTAATTTTTTTTTCCCTGACTCTATTTCAAAGTGGCACACTTCACTCTTGATTTTCAGTCTAGGGACTCGGGCCTGTGGAAAGCTCAACGCACCTATTTATACGCCGTGTGCAGATGGGACTGGAGGGTGTTATCATAATGAAAAGTTTAATCATCCTTATTTACTAGCAGGAAGGAGCAGCCGGGGAGGCAGGTACCTTATAACGCCTCAACTAGCAGCCCCAAGGCCACAGGAGCGCCAAGAGCCTCAGCCCCCTGCCTTCTCCAGGAAAACCTTCCCACGTTGCAGAGAAAACAAAGGAGGTCAAGTGGGTGTCCCCGCCAGGCCTAGAAGGCGGCCAGCCCCGAGGGTCCCTGAGGAAGCCCCCTGTCTTCTCAAACACAGGGGAGGGCCTCGGGCCACCCAGAGGGGACCCTCCAGCCGAAGGGGACCAGAGTATGTTCCCCCCAAATATTTTTTCTCATCTATGATAATGAAGCAAACAAAACAAAACATTCTCTAGTGACATTTCTTCCTTCCCAGGCTGCCTCTCAGCCCCTTCCCAGTGAAGGAAGGGATGGCCACGGCTGGGCGGGAGAGCCGCTAAAAATAAAAAAATCTCATTGAAGCCACCACAGACTTCTCCACCTAGTAGGGCCCTTTACTAGAGATGGGAAGTGCCACTGGTTTTCTTTACTAATTCTCTAAATTGGGTGACTGTGGTGTGTGTGTGTTTTTTTAACTTTTCTCACCCATTTTGACCAATGTGTTCCTAATTACTGAAGGGTGGGGGAACAGCGAGGGGAGGGGCGGCCAGGCCAGGCCAGGTAGAAGTGACAGGGCTGAGATTTGTGCTAACCAGCTATCGATCGGGCCAGATCGAGATGTTGTGTACAAGAAAATAAAAGAGAAAAGGGGGAGGGGGTGCAGCCAGCAGGATGCCGTGTCCAACTCCATTTTAAAAGGGTCCCCAGCTAACCAATTTAGGGCCCTGCCTGGGAGCAGCCTGCGGAATGCCCATGCCCGGCGGCCGCGGTGTCTGCCCTGCATGCTAAACACCAGGCTTCAAATGAGAGCGCGCGTCCCTGCATCCCAGGCTGGGCAGGGACGGGAACAAAGAGAAAAGCAAGCCAGGGCCTCCTCGTTCAGGAACGGGAAGACCTAGGGGGGACGTCGTCCTCCACCATGGGCGCCTCCAAATCCCCAGTTCTGACCACCACGCTCTGGGACCCACTCCCGTCCCCGCCCCCCTTTCCAAACTGACCCTCACCCAAAACCCAGGGGCAAGAGATGGCCGGACATGGGGACATGGGCTAAGGAAGGAGAAGGGAAAAAAACTCCAAGCCAGACCAAGGATCAGGGCACCTTGTTTTAAAGGACAGCACTGAGTCACCAGCTCCTGACACCATGGAAATACTCTACCCTGTGAAACCCAAGGAATTCAACCAGGGCTTCAAAGAAAAAAGGTAAAAAAATAAAAAGAAGGAGGAGGAGGAGAAGGAGGAGGAGGCTGGTGTTACCTAATTTTAAGAAACTACTAGCTCTATTTTTCTAATAAAGCCTCATTAAAATAAAATGGAGACCTATTATGGCCCGGGCATCTTTAGGCTGAAAGAACTGCTACTACTTTAGCGGGAACAGGGCTCCAAGGACCAGCCCCAGCCCCTCCCACCTTAAGGCCTCCAGGCCTGGTGAGAGGGGTGCTTAGAATGCTAAGGAGAAGTGGGACTGGACATCTGTCACCAAAGCCAAGCGAGATATTGACAAACGCGGGTCCTTTGTGTCTTAGGAATATATATACATATCCCCATCCACAAATGATTTCCTAATGGAAGGGTCTGGTCTCTGCCAAGCAGACCCTCACCCCAGCCCCAGGACACTGCCTTCAGATGTCAAGGAGAGGTCTCCTGGGGAGGTGGCCTGCCTCCTGCAGCCGGCCAGGTCTCCAGGTTTGGGCTGTTTTCTAGTGAAACTCTGATACTTAAGAAGAGGACAAAACAGCTATTCATTTAGGAGCTGATGTGCAGCGAGGCCTTGTCTCTGCGTGACGCTGCCCGACACCAAGGTTGGCAACTTTTTCTGTGAAGATGCAGTCACCTGAGAGCCGAGGCTGGCTAACTAGGAAAAGGTGGGGAGGCCCGAACAGAACTTTCCAGGTGTCCTGCCAGGAAAGGGGACACACACAACTCCTAAGAAGGGACACCAGCCTGAACGTGGAGGGTGAATGGGGGGTCTTGGTGTGAAAAAGAAGTGGCCTGCTTCTCTGAGCACTGCACGATGGCCCAGCTAGAAGTGGGGGGCTGGGGGCAGAGGGTTAGTGCATGTGACTCTACAAAGATTTCCCCAGAGGGTGACATCTAAGTTCTTACCATCTTGCGGAGACAGAATCTACCTGGCAGCACCTGGTGGTGGGCGTCCCCACGGCTCTTGATATAACCAAAGGAGGGGTGCCCAGCTCTGAGTTGGGCCCTGCGCCCTCCAAGCCCTGAGGGACCCGAGGGGCGGGGGCTAAGGCCTGCCCAGCGGATGGGGCGGGTCACCCGGAAAGGAGAGGGAGCGCGTGCGCATATACCTTCTTTGCTGTTGGGGTTCTGGGGTTTGGCCTTCTCCCAGGGCGCCAGCGTCTTATCCTCGTCCGCGCCGTCCACCAGGGTCTTTTCAGCTGGCATGTACCAGGTGGCGCTGTGCTCTGCCATCAGTGAGTCCAGGTCGATGGTGCTCATGGCGCTCTTGACGGCCTCGGAGCAGCAGCTGCCCAGCTCGCTGTCTCCATTCTGCCCACCTGAGGCCCCGACGGCACACTCGCCCTTCTTGCCACCCTTAAGCCCCAGGGGCTGGTCCTCGGAGATGCTGAACTGCTGCCTCTGTAGCTGGATCTGCGCCTGGAGGATCTCCAGGGGGTGGATCTCGTCGGGTGGGGGCGCACCACTGCTGCTCGTGGGGGTCCGGACCTGCTCCAGGCCCGGCGTGCCCGGATGGCCAGTGCCCCCGCCCCCGCCGTAGCTGTCGGGGGTCGAGGAAGAGGTAGACATGATACCCAGGCCGAGTGGGGGCGGGGGCGCCTTGGGTCCGTGTTCCCCGGCGCCCACCCCTCGAGGAGGGAGTTTGGGCGAGCCGGTCACCAGGGGACTCCTGCTGGCTTTGGCCAGGGCCGGGGGGTTGTCGGAACTGGACGACACCTCGTCCTCGTTGGCATAGCTCGTGCTCACCTCGTCCGAGGCGAACTCACCCACGTGCGGTGAACTACCGTCCGATTTGGCCCCACCGTCCAGGGACGCCATGAGGTCCTGCTGGTCCCCCAGAAGCAACTCCGCCCCCTTCCCCCACGACGGCGACGTAAGTGCCTTCTCGTGGGGCGTGGGCGCCCCGCGCGTGTCGCTCACAGAGCTTCCCCCGACGGCCGCGCCTGGAGCCTGCTGCTGTCCTGGGCTCACCCCAGGCGCGCCCCCGCTGTCCGGAGCCGCTGAGTACTTGTCGAAGAAGGTCCCAGGACTCACGTGACCACTGTCCCTTTTTCTGCGACCCCGTCCCCGGCCACCTCCCCCGGGGACCGGCTTGCCGTCGTTCCCCGACGTTGACTCTAGGGTGTAGTTGGGAGAGAGGCTGGTGCCGTCCCCCTGGCTGGGCGGGTTTGGCGGCCCCGAGGCTTTGGAGCCGCTGCTACTGGTCCCCGATGGGCCTCCGGGTCCTGGGGCCCCAGGAGCAGTCCCCCCCGGGAAGTAATCGGAGCCCGGGTTGCCGGCCACGGCCGTGCCATCGGCCTCGTTCTGGCTCAGTTTCCTCTTGCCCTCGGGTGGGTTCTTCTTGTTGAAGGTCACGTTGAGGTTGGGGGCCCCGAGGCTGGCGATCATGTTCTGGCAAGCCGTGGAGAGCGCAGCCAGGCAGCTTTGGCCAAACAGGTTGTCCTTGGAGCTGGGTTTATTGAAGGAGCCCAAAGAGAGCGCGCCCAGCTTGCTGGCCGAGGTGCGCTGGCTGGGCTGGAAATCCGGCTGCTGCGGGTAAGCGCCCCCGCCGCCGCCGCCAGAGCTGCCGCCGCCCCCGCCTGCGTTTGGGGGTGAGTTCACGCCCGCACCGCTGTGCGGAGTGGCCTGCCGGCTCCCTGGGCCAAACGGAAAGCCCGGCTGGCCCCCAAGGGCTGGCGCAGCGAAGTCCGGCGGCGGGGGCCGGCGATCCGAGGGAGCGCTGGGCAGCCCCACCCCTGCCCCAGGCGACTGCAACTGGCCCAGGCCAGCCAGGCTGCCCCCGAACTGGAGGCCCGGCGAGGACAGCGCCGGCACGTGGCCCTCCCCGGGCATCCTCAGCGGCTCCTGCAGAGGGCCCCGGAACAACACGCCAGAGCCCCCGGGCGGAGGGGGAGGCGCCAGGCTGGGGTCATGCGGACCACAGTCAGTGGGCAGGCCGGAACCACCCATCCTGCGGGGCAGCAGGTCTCCTGGCGGCGGGTGTGGGCCTGGGAACCACGCGCTCTCCTGTGCCAAGTGCGGCGCCTGCTGCTCAAAGGTGCCCAGGCGCCCCGTACCCGCGCTGCCGCCTTCGCGCTCAAAGTTCGGCTGAGCCAAGCCACCCACCGGACCGCCGTGGACTAGGCCACCCTGGCCCACGTCCCCTGGGTGGCCTAGCTGGGCCAGGCTGGGTTGGCGCAGCCGCTGCTGCTGATTCCGCGAAGCCATCTGTTTAATCATGAGGGCCGCATTTTGGCGCTGTTGCTGCTGCTGCTGTTGCTGCTGTTGCTGTTGCTGCTGCTGCTGCTGCTGCTGCTGCAGGGACTGGTGGTCCGGGGGGGCTGGGTGCTGCAAGGGAGGCCCGGAGGGGAAGCTGTCGGGCACAGGAGGGGTGAACTCGCCGGGGAGGCCCGGGTAGGCGGAGGGCGAGAGGTGGTTGTCCAGAGCGCCGTTGTGCATGCTACCATTCCACGAAGCACAGCGGTCCACTCCTGCGCTGCCTGGGAAGTCGAAGCGCGGCCTCTTGGCCATGTTCATGTAGTGGGGCGCGTCGAAATGCTGCAGCCGCTGGTTGGGCGCCTGCTGCGGAGGGGGATGCTGCATGTTGAAAACAGGCTCGGAATAAGGGTGCATGCTCCGGTTCTCCAGCCGGTGGATGGGATACTCGAACTGCGCGTGCTGGCTGGGCAGCATGGGACCCCCGTCCTGCAGGCCTCCGCTGGGCGTGCCAGCCTCGCCCTGCTGGGGCCGCGGGAGAGCAGGAGGGCAGGAATTTTGTCGGACCAGAAGCCCGGGTGGCGGAGGCTGCTGCTGCTGTTGCGGTTGCTGCGGGGGCTGCTGCTGGGGGGGTGGCGGGGCCTGCTGGGGAGGCTGCATTAACGGGTGCCTAGAGCCTACCCCGGGCTCCAGACCCACAGGCATCTTCCGGGCCCCGCCAAACCTCTCGAAGAACACGCCATGCTGCTGTTGCTGCTGCGGTGGCTGCTGCGGTGGCGGCTGCGGTGGCGGCTGCGGTGGCTGGGCGTGCATTTTGGACAAGCCCACCATGCCCGCGGCTCTGGGCATGGCCGAGGCAGCCGGGAAAGCGCCCCCGGGAACCTGACGACCCGCTGCATAATGAGGCAGCTGCCCCTCGGAGTCGGAGGGCGAAAACATGTCAAAATGTCCCGAGGGCGCCTCGCCCGCGTAATTGTATTCCAGGGAGTCGACGGTTCCTTGGTTCGTCACCCTCCGGGGCTCCAGACTGTGGGAATCGGAGCCGCTGGAGGCGGGCAGGCCGTGGAAAGATGCGGCCCGGTTAGGGCTCTGGTCCAGCGGCAGGCATGGGGCAGGCACGGCGTGGCCCGAGGCACCCGAACTGTGGAAGTCCGGGAGGTTTCCAGGTCGCTGCGGGCCGAAGCTCTCCGGCCCCTGGCTCTCCGCCATGTGCTCATAGCCCTCAGCGAAGGGCGGCTGGCTGCCCAGGCCGCCGGCCGCGCCTCCGTAGCCAAGCAGGCGACCCCCGTGCAGGCACGAGGCCCCCGGGTCCGGGCCGCCGAAGTTGCCCCCGAAGTGGGGGTGATGCTGGTGGGGGTGGTGGCCTCCCGGGTGACCATGGTGAGGCTGCTGACCGCCGAAGAAGCCGTGCACGGGCTGCGCCTGCAGCCCCCCTGCGTGCAACTCCGAGTGGCCCCGCGCGTGGAAACCGTATGGCTCCATGTTCATGCCCAAGATCGGGGGCTCGCCCAGCGCGCTCATGGCAGGGTCCACGGGGCCAGGGGGCCCCCCCGTGTGAAAAGCAGGAGCTTTAAAGTGGGCATTCATGCTCAGTCCGGTCTCGTTAAAGTTCCTCTCGCCCTGGCCAGCGTTCCTGCTGTTGATCTGGGGCTCGAATTGGTCCAGCCCAAACATACTTGGCGGGGGGCAAGGGGGGATCAATAGGGCATGACAGCTTGCTCTCCGCGGCGCGCCTCCGGCCAGCTACTCGTTCCAGCCCAGGACTGGGCGCTCCGGGACGCTCTGCACCGCGGGGGAGCAGCGCGCACCGCCACCCCGCCAGGCGTGGGGAGGCTGGGGGCTCTCAGCTCCTCTCCCGAAGCTCTGGATCTGCCCGGGGCGGGCCTCTCACATCTTGCGAGGCCGCGGGGCCTCCAGGAGCCGCGTTGGGGGGCCCATGCCCCAGGCGGTTGGCACAGCCGCGGGTGGGTTTGCGGGGAGGGGACCGGGCCGCGGGCGAACGTAGACAAAAAGTTAAGTGGGGGAGACGGGGCGGGAAGGGGGTTGGGAAAGCCGAGCAATCACCTTCTTAAGTCCGATCGGGTCGGTGGGGGAGCCCCAGGACGCCGCCCGCAGCCTCCCGGAGTCCGCGTGGAGCTGCTAAGGGCCGGGAGGGAGACCCTTAAAAGCCGCGGCTGGCGTGGGGGCACCGACAGAGAGGCCCTCCCCCCTCCCCCCGGAGTCCCAGCGCCCGGCAGCCCGAGCCTCGGCCGAGCACGATCCGCTCGCACAGTCCCCGCCGGCCCCGGGCGAACGGCTGCTGCTTCTTCAGCGGGTCGGAGGTCTAGAGGCTCCGCTCGGCATCGTCGGTACCGGCCCCCGAGCCGAGGAAGCGGCGGGGCTGGGGAGGCGGCGGGCGCCGGGATTGGAGCGGAGGGTCGGGGGAAAGGCGCGGCTCCCCTGCCCGGCGGCGGGTGCGCTGCGCCCCAGCGCGCCGCCGCTCGGCCACGTCCGCCGCCCGCTGCTTCTGCCCTCCGCCGTTCGGTGTCTGAGTTCGCGGGAGTCTCCGCGTCCCGCTGCAAGCTCGGGCGAGTACAGAGGCCAAGGGTTGGGTGGCTCCGAAGCTCCGGTTCCCTGCCGCCGCGCCGAGGTGCTCCGCGAGTCCCCCTCGGACCCGGGGAAGGGGGGCGGACGCTGGTTGGGGGCCGCGCGGGGCCGGCGAGCCGAGGCGTTCCGGCTGCGCTCTCCGAGCCGGGAACGGGGAGGGGGGCGGGAGCAGCTCTGGGGGGTCCGCGCACCCCGCTCCAGGCTGGCGGGGGGGCTCTGCGTGGGGCGTTCGGAGGGTCTCGGCTCCCCTCTCTGTCTGCCTCTCGCCCAGCGCCGGGAGAAGCAGCAACAAGTTTTGCATTTCAGCAATCAATTTCAGCCATTACATCTGCACCAATCAGCGCCGCCCAAGCTCCGGGCCCGGGGCGGGGCTCGCTCTTAAGGTGGTCCCGGGTCCTGGCTGCTGAGGCCCCCGCCACGGACCCGCACTACCCCGGCGCTGGGGTCCCCTGCTCCCGCCTCGCCTCGGGGTCCGGCGCCAGTGCACTGGGGGCGCGTCCTGGCCTCCGGGCCCTGGGGGCTGGAGAGGGCGCGGGCGGAGGAGAATGGCGGGAGCTTGGCTTTGTTCACCCCCCTTCCCATTCACACTGTTCTCAACTCCCCACCCCCAACTGGAGCGAGACCTGCCGGGTGGGCAGGGGGCGGGGAGGTGGGCGGCGAGCGGTGCGGGGCGCTCAGACAATGGGGTCGCCTGGCAAAGCCCCTGGACGCGCCACGGAAAGTCTCTAAGTGTCTGCTGCTCCTCAGCCCTGGAGTGAACCCTCCCTCTGCTCTCCACTGGCGGCGCCCGAGCTGGCCCGGCTGGGGATTTTGCTGGAGGTTAAAGCAGACCCGGAACCCCGAAGTTCGGGTTCTCCTGGAGAGACCCCGGCTCTTGCTCTTTCCTCCTTACTAGGGCACGCACAATTGTCCCTTATTGCCACTGTCTGGGGTTTCCGGTTCTCAGCTTCTGGCTTCGGTTGGAGGAGCCACGATCACTCTGCCACTTCATGCGGGGATGCGGGGGGGCGGGGGGTGGACATTGGAGGAGCCCAGCGCGGGAGCGGCCAGGCGTAGCCGTAGCGGTAGTGGCTGGGAGCCTCGAGAAGACCCGCGCGTAAAGGGCGCACGGGTCGGCCGCAGCACCTTGCTCCAGCCACCGGGGCCAAGGCCCAGGCCCTCTCCCGGCGCGAAGTTGGCCTCCTTAAGAGATCAATTAAACTGAAGAGGCCAAAGAACGGAATTGGGTTGTGATACTAAAATCAATAGGAGTAATTTAATATCTGCCCTGCTCTTTATGAAATATTTATCCCAATAATCTTAGTTAAAATGTTTAGATCTTCCTGATCCCCACCGAGGCTGAAATCTATCTTGCAATTAGAAGTTGAAAGTTGGAGGTGATGGAGGAGAGTGTTTATTCTGGGTGCATGTGTCCGTGCCCACGCGAGCCTGTATGTGTGCGTGCGTGCGTGTGTTTTCCGCTCTGAAGAGTAAGTAGGAGACAGGAGCAGGGAGAGGCCTTTCATTTTCTTTGCCATAAAATTGCACCAGGCGATCTGGCTAACAGACCTACACTCTTAGGAGAAAGGGAGGAAAAAAACAGAACTTTCTTTGGAGGGTCCTGATATCGCTATTAAATCTAAATAAAATTAAGCATGGTGTATAAAGTGCCTCCTTCCCCCCCACAAAAGAAAGTGTTTATCGCCCAAGTCTGTCTAGCGTTTGCTAAATTGCGCATGAAATCTGAAATGAAATAAACGTTATAATAAAACCAACCCCTGAGCCCTTTTTATTTAAAAACCTCGGATTAAGCACTCCACAGTCGCCGGCGCGAGTTAAAAAGTTACCATGTCGTGCGCACCATTCACGGCTCCCCCCGGAGCTGCAGCCAGCAAGGTGACGCTGGGAAAAAGGGCTCAACTTAGGAGGTGAGAGGAGGGAGCGGCAGGGGGCAGACTCTCCTGGGACTTCCCAAGACCCCCCCTCAAAAAAAAAAAAGAACAGATACTAAAACCCAACAACTTTAAAACTCAAAGATGAAGCAAGCTCAGGTCCAAGGTCCTTCCTGGAGTCCACAGATATCTATATATTTTTTTCTTTTTGAAATTAAAAATGAAAATCACCCCCACCAAAAATGGGGCCCATAAATAAGCACCAGGAAGAAGTATTTGTACAGGGTGGTGGAGTTTTAAAAGGATTTTTCTGCAGGATCAGGTTGTTGGTCTGTGATTAAATATTGATTTTGTGTAATTAGTTTTCATGTGAACTATCCTCTTGCTGATAGCTTAGAGGTTTCAGAACTAGAGAAGAAATGGAATTGGACATGGAAATTATTACTTAGCAAAGTGACAGGAAAGGGAGGGCCGGAGCAAAGACTGGGACTTGGCTGATCTAGGCACAAAGAAATCAAGGACCTGAGAAGGCCTCTGGTGACCCCCTCCCAGGGCTCCTGGGCCACAGCAGGGGAGACGGGGGACCTCCTGGGCAGGAAGGGGGCCCAATGGGGGGATGAATGGCTGTCGTGAGGAGGACCCCTCCCGGGCAAAGGCCTGTGCAGAGTCTACGACACCAGGTCACCACTTGGCTCTGGACTGTGAGTGTACCAGGAGGCAGCCGTGTGCGACGGGAGAGTGGGGGCCCGCCCGGGCCTGGAGTGGTGGGGGTGGGGAGGGCTGGCCTGCAGCCGGGGGAGAGCCATGACTTCAGGCCGGGCGGGCGGGCGGGGGTCCCCTGCACACCTGGGCAGGTTTCCTGTGCGCCCCAGGGAGGGGGGTGTGGGAGTATTTTTCTGGGGCCGTTTCCAAGACTTGGCTCTGCGAGGTGTGTGTGTGTGTGAAAGGAGGGTGTGTTGGGCCGGCGTGTTTCTGTCCGGGTGTGTGTCTGAGTCGCCTTTCTTGAACACTGGGCATGTTGTGCGGGGCGTGTGGCCGCGTCCTGCACTGCGTCTTCCCCGGGTGACACTCCCAGGCCTTCTGTGTGTCTGTCCGTGGCGGCGGGGCCGCGCCCGGGGCTGCGTGTCAGCTCTGTCTTGCGCCCCAGCCCGGGGGGCGCCCCTCTCTGGGATCTGCCTGCGCCCCTGCTCGCTTGTGTCCTTGTCCCTCTCTGCAGGTGTGAGCCGTGTGCCTGTGCCTGTGCCCGTGCCCAGCCGGGGCCGGGGAAGCGCTGGCGTGTCTGTGCACGGCGTGGGCGCCCCTCCTGTGCCTCCCTGCCAGGGCCGCGCAGTTTCTTGGGAACGGACACACTGCCCCCTAGCGCCCAAGGAGTGCAGAGTCCCGCCGGCGCAGGGCCGGGAGCCTCAGGGTCCCCCGCGGGCCTGCTCCCTCCTCTGGTTCCGAGTACCCCGCCCTCCAGGAGTGTGCTGGCAGCGGCTGGAGGGAACTCCTGGGGCAGGGAAGGTGGGGGGGGTGTGGACACAGGATGGAGCCCCAGGGCTGGTGACATGTGGGGAACTGTGTGGAATGGCCTCAGTAAGCTGCCCCAGGCTCCCTATACAGGCTGGGAGGTAGGGATGGTGGGACCGGCCAGATTGGGGGAGGGTCGCTAGTGACCCCCTACACACTCCAGGAAACGCAGCACCCAACACTGGTCACCCACTGGACACACAGGCTCCACACCTGCCCAGATTCCAGTCTTCTCTTCACCACTCTGAGCTGTGTGAAATATTGCCTTCTCTGAACCCTCAGTCTCCCTTTGGGAAAGGGGAAATGAAAGCCATTTTAAATGGGCTGTAAGATTGGAGGCAGAGTGTGACACACAGAAGGCTTCCATTTGATGGTAGAACCTCTTCTCACTAATTCCTCAGCATTTGAATCTAAAGAAGTGGAGAATAGAGAAAGGATCCCGGAAAGATCTGGTTTCTTTCTTTCTTTCTTTCTTTTTGGCGGGGGGAGTACTGGGGACTGAACTCAGGGGCACTCTACCACTGAGCCCCGGCCCCAGACCTATTTGGTATTTTATTTAGAGACAGGGTCTCTCTGAGTTGCTTAGCAACTCACTTTTGCTGAGGCTGGCTTTGAACTGGTGGTCCTCCTGCCTCAGCCTCCCCAGCCCCTGGGATTATAGGCCTGTGCCACGGCACCTGGTTTAAGATTTTTTTTTTCTTTGGAAAGGTCGGCCTTATTCACCAGCCAGGCTTTGAAACAAAGGCAACTCGCTTTGATGACCACCTCAATGCCCCCGCACCCCCATGCTGCTGTAGGTAGATGCACCTGGTCTGAAACCTCTGAGAAGCCCAGCTGTGGCCAGGACAGAGGAGAGAGGGGTGGTTGCTAGGTAACAGCATCCCCTCCTTCTCTCTACCCAGGATGCCTGATGTCTTTGGAGATCTCTTACTCCGTTGAATGAGTACTTACTGAATGCCTACTGTGTGCCGGACTCAGGGAACTCAGGGGAAAAAAAGAAAACAGTTCCGGCTCTTAAGCCAGATCAGAGGACGCCCAGTATTGGAGGTTCAAACAGTCATATCAATAAGGGACTAAGTAGCTATGCTGGGAGGAGAAATAGAGGAAAGTTCCCAAGGGGTTTTGAGGGTAGAATAGGAGTCTGACAACAGACAAAGCCACAGGACTTTCCAAGGAGATGGTGCGTGGGCAGGTTCAGAGCAGCAGTGGACCAGAAAGGGACTGAGGTCAGCAGGACCTGGATCAGAAGGACCTCGAGGGCGGCTGGGAAGTTTGGGCTGTTCTGAAGCGGTTTCAAGTACAGCCAGTGACAGGAACAAGCCGGAAAAGGTCTCTGGAGACCCGAGGGCCCCCCCTTGCTTTGCTTGTCACGGTGGACCCAGAAGCCGCTCCACCTGGTGTCCTTGGAAACCGGACAGGGAGGCACAGCCAGGCTGCTTACACAGACAGGTCCCCTTCACTTGGGGCTAGGAACTCTGCTCCCTGGTGGCCTGAGAAGGCTCCTGTCCTAGGTTCGAAACCTGCAAAGCCACCCTGGCCCCTGGCCAGCGTGAAGCCTGTCTACACGGTGTTAGGGAAGTGACAGTCTAAAAGGCACGGAGCTCAGTGACAGGCACAGAGCATGGATGGCATCCCGCGGCTATCTTGTGAAGTAAGTTCTATCGTTTGTTCTTTGTAGACCTGGGGATCAACCCCAGGACCTTGTGCATGCTAGGCCAGTGCTGTAGCACTGAGCTGCATCCCAGCCCTTGAATTTCATTGCCCTGGTCAACCTTGAACTTGAGATCCTTTTGCCTCGGCCTCCTGAGTGGTTAGATTTAGAGGCAAATTGTCCCTAGTCATGGATGGCTCTATTATTTCTCCCATTTTATAAAGAAGGAAGCTGAGGAACAGAGAGGCAAGGGAACTTGCCTAAGGTCACACAGCCACTAAGAGACTCCAGAAGACGAAGCTGGCAAGTCTGCAGCTTGGGCCTGGGTCTGCGCCACCAGAGTCTCCCAGCCCCCCCCCCCCACGCTGTCCTTAACTTCCTGCTTCCCAGGCTCTGGGGCAAACAGACCACAGGGTTAGGGACGGGGCACACCAGGGAACTTCCCTGAATGTGGAACAACAGGTGGCTGCTTCCCAGCTCAGTGGCCAGTGGGGCTCCCCGTCGTCTCACCATCACCTCCGCAGAGCAGCTCCACCTCCAGGGCCCAGGCTGGAGGCCCCAGGGCTGGCTCCTGCTTCTAACCCCTGGGCACACTCCAGGATCCCAACAGCACAGCCACATGCTTGGCTGTGACACAGAACCTCAATGGCACCAACTGGGCTGGGAGGCAGGCAGCTCAGTGGTCGGCCTGGCCAGCAGGGCTCCACCTCCAGAAAAAGCGGGGGGGGGGGGGGGGGGGGGGGGGAGGGAGAGGGGAGGGGAGGGGGAGGGGGAGGAAGGGAGAGGGGGAGGGAGGGAGAGGGAGAGGGGAGGGAGGGAGAGGGAGAGGGGAGGGAGGGAGGGAGGGAGGAGGGGGAGGGAGGGGCCACTCAATCGCTGGAGGCGCACAGCAATGACAAGGGCCACCCCTCTGCACAGTGCACAGCTGCTCCTCAGACTCCCTGAATCTTGAAAGCAGCCCTAGGAGGCCCTGCTCCCATCAGCCCCAGGACTGAGGCTGAGAAGCACAGTGACTGCCCCAGGCCTCTCGTGGCTGGGCCTGGTGTCACTCTGGGTGCCTGGACTCCTCAGGCGTCCCTCATCCCTCCGTCTCCTCCTACACAGCTTCTCTCCCCCAGCATCCAGCCATGAGCTTCCATTTTCCATTCTCTAAGCAGAGTGCGCTGACCCCAGGCCCGGGGCCCAGGCTGACTCAGACCAGCCCCCCAGGCTGCAAGTGAAGGCCCAGGAACTCCAGCCCGTCCAGCCTCCCTTGCAAGAGTTCTCACGCAGCAGGGAGAGGGGAGAGGAAGAAAAAGGAAGGGGGGGGGAGGGAGGGAAAACAAGCAGCCGGGTGTGGTGGTGCACACTGTCATCAAGCGCTCAGAAGGCTGAGGCAGGAGGATGGCCAAGTTGGAGGCCAGCCTCAGCAACTCAGCAAGATCCTGTCTTTTTAAACAGGGCTGGGGATGTGGCTCAGCTGTAGAGCAGTGAGGAGTGTGCACAGGGCCCTGGGCTCTCACACACACACACACACACACACACACACACACACACACACACACACACGAGGCACCAGCATTACACGCGCAGTCAGAAATGCAAACGCCGGCCAAGGTCATGATCACTGCCCAGGCCTCTTCTGCTGGGGACCGCGGCCTCCTCCTCCCTCTTCACTGTCTGTGCCCGCGGCCCTCAGGCCTTTGGTCTGGGAAAAGGAGCCTCTAAACACAACCAAGTGAGCAGGTGCCAGGGGAGCTGGGGTGACTCAGCGCTCAGCCCGACTCGGCTGTCCGTCCTCGGCACCCGTCCCTGTCCCCTGTGCCCTGTCAGCCCCTGGTTGGAGGCTCCTCCAGGCCACTGGGACAGGTGCTGGGAGAAGTCCTGTCCCCAGTGCCGAGGACCCCGCTCCCAGGAAGGAGCCCGCGCCTGATGCCAGACGGGCCTCTGCAGCAGCAGGCGGGCACCTGACGGGGACAGTCCCTGTGTGTCCAGCTGTCCCGCTCCCCTCTGCAGCCGGGAGGACGCGGCCTCAGTGGCCTCCCCTCCCCTCCCCTCCACTGCCTGGTCTGGAAACCCCGGCCCAGCAGCACCTGGGTCCAGCAGCCTCAGGGGGCGCGGGAGGGGGTCCAAGGTCATGGTCACTGCAGCCCTGGCCAGTGAGTGGAGGGGACGACAAGGAGGTTCCCGAGTGTGGAAAGGGGGCCTCCTCCTGGCACCTGTGGCAAGAGGGACACGGCCCCCAGCTCCTGGACATTCCCTGTGCACGGGGCGCCTCTGGGGTCCCCCAGGAAGCCGATTTCCAGTTTTGTTTTGTGAAGGGGCACCAGGGATTGGACCCGGGGGCCCTCGGCCTCCGAGCCCCGTCCCAGCCCTATTCCGAGTTTTATTCAGAGACAGGGTCTCACTGAGCTGCTCAGGGCCTGGCTAAGTTGCTGAGGCTGGCCTTGAGCTCTCGATCCTCCTGCCTCAGCCTCCCGAGCTGCAGTGGTTACAGGGGTGCGCCACGGTGCCCCGCTCTTTGTTTTAATATCTACATATTTAGCTGCAGATGGACCAGGGCCTTCATTTCGTGTATTTTTTATGTGGTGCTGGGGATTGAGCCCAGGGCCTGGCCCATGCTAGGCACTTGCTCCACCACTAAACCCCAATCCCAATTTTCACATCAACTCCGCAGCGGAAAGATTCCTGCGCCGCTTCACTGAGGGAACTTAGAGGAAGGCACAGCGTTCTGGGGAGCAGCCGGGAGGCGTCCTTCAAACTAAGAGCCCGAGGGCCCAGGCAGGACAGGGGAGGCCCAGGGTGGCCCTGGGGACCCCACCACGGCAGCCCCCTGTCAGGCTGCCAGGACGGTGAGGTGGAGCCTGGCTTGGGGGGCCCCCTCCCACCTGCCGAGAAAACAGAGCCCAAGGAGGGTGAGTCATGGCCCCCTCCACGAGATTCTTGGAAAAGTGCCCACGTGTCACCGTTGGGCTGTGACACTGTGGCCAGCTGGCTCTTCCTCTAGATGTTCTGTGCGCAGCAGGGGAAGGCAGGGTGGCCCAGGGTGGGTGCGCTGCAGGCCTGGCCCCTCCCGGGGCCTCAGTTTCCCCATCTGTCCAATGGGAAGGAAAAGAGTCCCACACTGTCGTCGGCAGGGTGGGGCCGAGGTGGCCGAGTCCTCAGCACACAGTTGACACTCGGTGAAGGGCTCCACCTGGGGAGGGAGGCCTGGCCGGCCCTGCACCCTTGGCGACCAGGAACCCTCAGGTGGGGCTGGCCTCGCCTGGCCAGGGCCACCCCTCCGCTGCCTCTGCCCCAGCAGGAGCCACCGGGCCACCTGGGGAGCTGCGGGCACAGGCTCCAGACACCAGCGGCCCCCACCTCGGCTCCTATGAGCTCATCTGGGTTTGGTGACTTTGCAGCTGCCAAATCGCTCAAATGTTCCAGCCCTCCGCCCCTTCCCCAGGCGGAAAGCCACCGGCCATCACGCAGGCACCGCTCCGAGGAGCCCCGGAGAGGATGCGGAGACGGATGCGGCGTTGGGGGTCTCGATCATCCCGATGAAACGTCCCCCAGATCACAGGAGAGGGGCAGGGAGGGGCGGGGCGCAGGGCACAGGGACGCTCCACAGGAGCCCTGGACCCCTCCTGCCCTGGTGTGACTCTTCCCGCTTCCCCAGGGGGGTCCCTGGTGGAGGGGGGGTCTAGACGTGTCCACACACATGTGCGCACCCACAGCCACGCAGGTGTGTCCCCATCCTGTCCATTCCCAGCTGCTGGCTGTTGAAATCTCTGTCCCCGTCCCAGGGCCTGACCACCACCCTCCCCACTGGATCTAAATCCCAGCAAACCAGACCGCACACCCACAGCCGCACCCCACCACCCACACCCAGGAAACAGCCTTTGAAAATAAAAATCAGTCGGGTGCAGTGGGGCACACCTGTCATCTCAGCGGCTCAGGAGGCTGAGGCAGGAGGATTGCAAGTTCGAGGCCAGCCTCAGCCACTTAGGAGACCCTAAGCAACTTGGTGAGGCCCTGTCTCTAAATAAAGAATAAGAAGGGCTGGGACATGGCTCAGGGGTTAAGTGCCCCCGAGTTCAATCCCTGATACCAAATAAATAAAGAAAAGGAAAGGAAACCCTCATTCCTCACTCCCACAGTCTCTGGGCTCTGGCACCTCCCCACGCCAGCCCGGCCACGCTGGCCCCGTTCCTCCCTTCCTGCCTTTGCAGGAGCCGTGCCCAGGGCTTGAGGGCTCTTGGCTCAGTTAGGGTCAGCTGAGCCAATCCTTCCCGGCCACTTACACCTGATGGCCTTAACTTGAGGTGCTCTCCTAGGTTCGAGGTCTGGGTGTTGTCGTCACCATCAGACCCCCCACCCCAGGGCCAAACATGGGTGATTTCTGGGCACCATGCAAACTGAGTTCCAGTGAGCCCCCTGCAGCGAGGATACCAGGACCTTGTTGTCTAAAGCCTTTAACTAAGCACTTACTATGTGCCTGGGTTCCAGTGGCTCCCTGCCATCCTTGGCTCTCCTGGGCTGGTGGACAGGGCTCCAGTCTCTGCCTTCTCCTGGTGTCCCTGTGTCCAAACATCTCCCTTCTTATGAGGGCAGTCCTGTGGGTCTGGGGGCCCACTGTAATCCAGCATGACCACATTTAAACGTGATCACATCTGCAAAGACCCTGTTTCCAAGTAACGTCACACTCGTGGGTTCAAGGTGGACATGAGTATCAAGGGGACACTGTTCGTTTCAGCACATCCCATTCTTTCAGTGTACTGGAAGGGATTCCAGAGGCACCGGCTTTTCCAAGACGCGCTGGATCAACCGCACAGGAGAAGGCTCTGCGGTCTTGTGCAGGTGTGGCCGGGTGTCAGGTCGAGTTCACTGAGTCGCACAGACACTCCGCCCCAGCTCCGGTCCGTCTGCATCCATCTCCTACGACGTTCAATACGTCTGTCCACCCATGAACCAGAAACCCAGGAGCAGGCCCTGCCGCCGGCTCAGGGCGGACCAGCCAAGGAAAACTTGATGAGAACGCAGCTCGTGGTGGGAGACGGGCCCCAAAGAGTTTACAATTATTTTATAAAATAATCAGAATTATTTTGATCCTAATTGTGTCACAAACATTTGATCATAACTGTATACAATGTGTCATCGGTTTCTGTTGTTTTGATCAATTGGATGCCAATAATAATTGCACTAACTTAAACCTGAAGAAGTCACTGTCTTTCCCAGGGCCCTGTAAACCCGGGAAATGGAACAAGTATGAAAACTTTAAAAAAGATATAGTTTGGGGCTGGGCTGGTGGCTCAGTGGTAGAGTGCTTGCGTGACATGTGTGAGGCCCTGGGTTTGAGTCTCAGCACCACATAAAAACAAATAAAATAAAGGTCCATCAACAACTAATCTATATCTATACATGTATATCCTTTTTTTTTAAAGATATAGTTTGACCTGAGTGGGATGAGGGTTTGGACGATCTTTTTTTGGTACCAGGGATTGAATTCAGGGGCGCTCAACCACTGAGCCACATGCCTGGCCCTTTTTTATATTTTATTTGGAGACTGACTCACTGAGTTGCTTAGCACCTCACTATGAGGCTGCATTTGAACTCATGATCCTCCTGCCTCAGCCTCCCAAGCTGCTGGGATGACAGGTGTGTGCCACAGCACCTGGCCAAAAGTCACTTTTTAAAATGGGATTGAAACACACCTGTCCAAACACTAGCTCGCTCTTTCTTTCTTTCGTTTTAAAAATATCTTTATTTTGTTTGTTTATTTTTATGTGGTGCTGAGGATCAAACCCAGGGCCTCGCACATGCTAGGTGAGCGCTCTACCACTGAGCCACAACCCCAGCCCGGCTTTTTCTTTCTAATAATTGTTTTAACATTTTGGTTTTCTTTTTTAAAAATCTTATTTATTTGTTTATTTATAGGTCGCACTGAGGATCTAACCCAGGGCCTCACACATGCTAGGCAAGTGCTCTACCACTGAGCCACAACCCCAGCCCCCTAACATTGACTTTTAAAATGAGTAATTCACCAGCAACTAGTGCATCCATCACACTGTGTAGCCTCCACCTCTCTCCAGCTCCAAACACTCACATCCTTCCTAAAAGGAAATCCCACTTCTCATTCCTCCCTTCCCTGGTATCCTAGCAACCATGAATCTCCTTTCTGTCACTGGGGATTTGCATACTATGAACACCTCATGTAAATAGAATGACACAATATGTGGCCTCCTACGCCAGGCTTTTTTTAAGTGGCAAAATGTTTTCATAATTCATCCACATGGTAGTGTGTTTCAGCATCTCGTCCCTTTTCATGGCTGCATACTATGCCAGCATATAGCTAGATTACACTTTTTTTTGTCCCCGTTATTGAACCCAGGGGCCCTCCACCACTGAGCCCACCCGAGCCCTATGCTGTGTTTTATTTAGAGACAGGGTCTCACTGAGTTGCTTAGCACCTCACTGTTGCTGAGGCTGGCTTTGAACTTGAGATCCTGCTGCCTGAGCCTTAGATCGCTCTGTATTTATCCATCTTTGGTGGACGTTTCTGAGTCCTGTTGGCTGCTGTGGACACGTGTGGAAGTGAAGGTGCTTCTCTTTGTTTCATGTTGCTTTGTGGTGCTGGGACTGAACCCAGGGCCCTCCACCTGCCACCGAGCTACACCCCCAGCCCTAAGCTGCTTGTTTTTAAGCATATGATGTGCCAGGCGCGGTGTGGGCGCTGCAGGAGCAGCAGATTTCTCTAGAAACATCCTGCTCCCTGGAGCCCCGGGTCTGTGCATTACAGCGGGTGACAGACGTGTGGATCGTGAAGCGCGTCACCTTCTGGTGGCTCCTTTTTGGAGCCCCAACTCTGGCCTCAACAAATCTTCGGCTGCACAAACGAGAGAATGACAGAAGCCGAGTCTTGGCCTTGTCCCCTACGGGCCCTCCAGGGCGGGCAGAGGCGCACAGTAGGTCCCCGCCATGCCTTTCCTGGGTAAGTGGCCCTGCACAGGTGCGCCTCAGCCCCGAGGTCCCAGCCCAGCTGTCCGCTGGCCGAGGTCCCACTTGCTCCACATCTGGACGTGGAGGAGGCTGGGACTCGCCAGGGAAGGGGGTCACCATGTCACATGCAGTGCCCCTTCCCACCAGGACCCAAGGTTCCATCTCATGCAGGGGCCACGGCTGCTCAGCCTCCGGGGCACAGGGTGCAGGTCTGGGGTCAGCATCAGCTGATGAGCTTTCGGGGACGTCCCCACCGGCCGTGCGCCCCGCACACACAGGTCTCTTTGTTGCAAAGGAGACAGGACAGGGGGCGCACGAGGAAGGAGCCAGCAGACCTGGGTGGGGACCTGCGCTGGGAAGTCCCCAGGGCCAGCCAGCCTCCCACTGTCTTAACAGTAGTGCGCCGCAGTCCGCGGAGTCCCTCTGGGCGCGCCTGCGGACACCTGCTCCTTCTGAACCGCCTCCCCTGGACTTGGCCCCATTTTACAGATGGTGAAACTAAGGCCTGGGGTCGGCTCAGGCAGGGCTGTAGGATCTTCCCAAGGGCCTTCTGTGTCCTCTTCGTGCTGCTGACAGCTCACATGAGTCCCCCTCCCAAGCTCTGCCCCACAGGGCACCCAGGAGGCGTCCGAGGACCACCTGGTCCCAAACACTCCTGTTCCTTCAAATTGCACATGGGCTCCCCCCACCACTCCTCCCCCGCTGCCTTCCTACCTGGCCTGAGCAGCTCCCTCGGTGCCAGATCTCACCCCAAAACTGAGATTTTTTTTGGTACCAGGGATTGAACTCAGGGTCCCTAGACCACTGAGCCCCGTCCCCAGCCCTAGTTTGTATTTTATTTAGAGACAGGGTCTCACTGAGCTGCTTAGGGCCTCGCTGTGGCTGAGGCTGGCTTTGAACTCTTGATCCTCCTGCCTCAGCCTCCCGAGCTGCTGGGATGACAGGTGTGTGCCATCGTGCCTGGCTACTCAGAGCTTTTAACAAGGGACAGGGACAGTCCCTGAGCCATGCAGTGTCCTAAAGCAGGCAGACATGTCCACTACCCTCAGAGGCAGAGGAGCACTGGGCAAATAACTTGGTCTTGAATCAGAAACACCAGCTGTGATTAGGGACGGAGGTGCACACCAGTGGTCCCAGCGCCTCAGGAGGCAGAAGCAGGAGGATCTCAAGTTTGAGGCCAGCCTCAACAGCTTAGCGAGACCCTATCTCAAAATTGAAAAATAAAAGGGCTGGGGATGTGGCTCAGTGGTTAAGCACCCCTGGGTTCAATCCCTGGAACCAAAGAACAAAACAACTTAAAGGCAGCACCAGCTCTGCCCCAATCCTAACAGGCTGTGACCGAGGCAGAGACAGAAGCGGGTTCAGGTTCATTGGGAAGAGAAGCTCTGACGGCCATGCCCCTGCTCTCCCACGCCTGGACACCTCCCCAGGAGGACTGAAAACAGGTGGCCCAACAAAACAGGGACACAAAGGTCCCTAGTAGCATTCTTCACAACAGCCCAAACCTGGAACCACCCACATCTCCTCCAACAGAGGGCTGAAGGAACCACGTGGTCTATCCGCACAGCGGAGTAATTCGCAGCTGTGAACAAGGAGTGACGGAAGCCCTCTACATGTGACCGCGAAGATGAACCTCGAAAACGTCACACTATGCAAGAGAAGCCAGACACCAAGGGTCAGGCATGGCCGGATTCCCCTTGCATGAAACATCCAGAAGAGGCAAGTTCAGACACAGGAAGCAGCTGAGTTCCGTCCGGCGTGCTGGGTGACCTGGGGCAGCCAATGTTCTGCTCTGAACATCCCGGGCATTAGAGTCATTATTGCCTTGACCCTGCCGACCTCATTGGGCTCCGGAGGCTCACACAGGGGACCATGGGCCACAGTATAAAGTGCCGCAACGAGGCTGTAATTGCCCAAGGAACAGCACGGTGGCAACAGGAGCACCCACGAGTAGATTCCTTGGGCTCCCCAAACAGCTAGACGCCCCTGACGTTGGCCAAACTTTCCCCCCATTTTCAAAGGGCCCTCGTCTGCGTTCTTCAACAAATTCTCTGGAAAAAAAGAAAAAAAAAGTCCAGGGATGAGAGAGGATCCTCCAAGTCTGACCTGCCAGCGTGTCTCCCCTGGGTGTCTGTCAGGAGGACCAGGGAGCCCACGAGGGTCTGCTCCTGTGAGCTGAGAGCAGGTCTGTCTCCTGGCAATCTGTCCTGGTAAGGGCACAGCAGCAGCAGGAGCGCCCCCTGCTGACACTATGTGGTATAAGCTATGTTCCTTCTCACCTCTGAGCCTTTGCACATGCTGTTCCCTATGCCTGGAATGCTCTTCCCTGGCATTGGCTTCTTATTGTGGCTCTAACAAAACACCACAAAGGCTTAAAATAACACAGTCCTCCTGTCTGTCGGCTCTAGGGATCTGAAGTCCGACATGGGCCTGGCTAGGCAGTTACCAAGGTCCTGGCAGGGCCAGGCTCCTCTCTTGAGGCTCCAGAGGGGATTCTGTCCTCTTGCCTCTTCCAGCTTCTGGAAGCTTCCATGTCCCTTGGCCCCTGCTGGAGACACTGCGTCTCTCCAGCCACCCACCCTGCTCACCTCTCCCTCTGAATGTGGTCAGGGCGGGGTTGCTCATTTTAGACTCATGGGATTAAACTGGGCCACCTGGATAACTCAGGATAATGTCCCCATCCCCAGATTCCATAACTGTGTCCTCAGCAAGACTCCTTAGGGGCAGGAGCTGTCTCCATCACCTGCACATCCCCAGGGCGCCTGGCCAACACAGACCAAGCTCTCAGGACACAGCCATGGAGTGGGTGAGCCTGGGTCCCCTCCCACCTCTGCTCTTCCTGGCCGTGTGGCCCCCAAGCCCAGGGTGGCTGGCCCAAAGTGGGTTTGTATGGTGGCTTTGGAAATTGTTGCAAGAACTAAATCAGATGAGGCCCCAAGGCACACAGTAGGTGTTCAACTAAATGGCAGTTACTTTTGCTCTTCTGACTGTTTTGTGGAGACAGGTTCTGCGTCATGTGGTCCTTGGGGTTGATCCCAGGCCTCCGAGTTCTCCATCAAAGAATCAGGTTATAGGAAAACAAAATAGAGTGGGATTAGCTGTCCTAAGGTAGAGTGGCTCAGTGGCCAGTCTCCGGAACAGACACGGAAACACCAAGGGCCGCCTTTGGAGGACCAGCGAGAAGCCTGCAATGAGAGTCTTGGCTGCGTCATCAGCAAGAAGAACACAAGAAAGCATTTCAAAAGCATCTGTCTGCCCAGGCGCGGTGGCCCACGTCTGTCATCCCAGTGGCTCGTGAGACTGAGGTAGGAGGATTGCAAGTTCAAAGCCAGCCTCAGCCACAGCGAGGCCCTAAGCAGCTCAGTGAAGACCCTGTCTCTAAATAAAATGCAA